TGGCCACCACGGCGGCCGGCGTGGCCGTGGGCTCCGCCGTGGGACACGTCGTGGGCAACGCTATCACCGGCGTCTTCAGCGGCGGCTCCTCCGAACCGGCCAAGGCGGCGCCTCCCGCCCAGGTACGAGCGGGGCCGGGCCGGGGCGGGCGGCCTTGTCCTGCCCTTGGGCGGCGGGGCCGGGGGGAGGCGAGGAGGGGTGGCGGGGGCCCGGCGGCAGAGCCGGTGCCGAGGAGCGGGCCCTGAGGCTGCCCTTGCGGGGAAGGACACGGCGGCCCAAGGTGACGGGGCTGTTCCCGCTGAGCGGCCACAAGGAGCCGCGGTGACTGCTGAACGGGGGGGGGGTGTGTGTCTCTGCCCCCAGAGCCCCTTCCCCAACCCGGCCCCTGCCCGCAGGAGCCCAGGCAGCAGCCCCTCTACCAGCAGTCGCCCTATGGCCCCTGCCACTATGAGATGAAGCAGTTCCTGGAATGTGCCACCAACCAGAGGGACCTGACCTTGTGCGAGGGCTTCAACGAGGCGCTGAAGCAGTGCAAGTACAGCAACGGTGAGTCCCTGCCCCGGCCCGGCGGGGGTCACCCGGGAGGGTTCAAAGGTTGCAGAAGTGATCTGCTGAGCCTCTAGTGCTGTCCGAGGCTTTAAATAAGAAGCAGTTGTGCCTTTCCTGTGTCCTGGAATGTGGAAGGGAACTGGAAATGACAGGAGAGATGGTCCTGGCCATGTCCTTGAAGGCGAGGAGGCTGTAGGTACCCTCTTAGAGGTCTCTCTCGGGAAACCTGCTGCTTTCCCTACTTCATTCCCTAATTCCTTCTCCACCTGCTAAAAGCAGATATCAGTAGTTACGTCTTGACTTGGTCACCTTAGGTAAGAGAGCTTTTACGATCTCCAGCTGCTGGAACATGAACCTAATGCTGAACTCCTGCTTTCTCCCCTGTAGGTGTTACTTCTCTCCTGTGAAGAATCTGCCCCCTTGTTGGGAAGAGGAGCCTGGTGTGGAGCCCCGCTGCCCGCAGGGACGGGGTGAGCTGGAGGGCACAGACTGACCAGACAGGAGTCTTCTAGTGGTAATTCACTTGTGGACTAGGAGGGAAGGAGAGGAATGGCTGGACCTGTGGGAGCTTGAAATTCAGATAGTGCTGTATTTATTACAGAGAAATAAAGGAGTTCATTTGGACCTGTCACTGGTGCATGTTCTTTATTTAATTCTTCAAGCTAAAATTAAGCTACCAAAATGTTAACAGTGTCAGGCACTTAAGGGACAAGGCACAAAGGCATATTTCCTGCCGACAGGAGGGGCGGCCTCGCAGGGACTGTGCCCCATGACTTGGCAAAAGCCGATCAGGAGTGAGCTGAGGCCGGGCTGGATGCCCTCCAGGCAGAGGAGGGGCTGGAGGGAGGCAATCCGAGCTGTCCCCCGCGGTATTTTCAGTAACAAATCTATCTTTCCATCGATATCCTCTTCCTGAAGGGCTCTTGTGACGCTGGAGCTAAGACAGTGTGACCTGCCTGGCAGGGTGACTGGGATACAGTCGGCTGATCTCGCCGAAAGGCCGGAGCAGCTTATGCAACCTGCTCAAGGTCACCAGCAGCGGGGTGAGCTTTCTGCTTTCCTCTGACTGCCTGTGGCAGAGCAGGCTCATGGCTGCTGCCTCCAGCAGGAGGCCCTGCTCTGTCCTTGGTGGGAAGGAGAACTTTGAGGCTTCAGCTGGTGTTTTAGTGGCACGTGGTGATGCTTTTGGAGGCTTAACCACTGAATCTTCATGGCAGAATTAACCTGTTCGCTGTTGGATGCTGGGCAACTGCCCAGCCCCTCGCTGAGTCTGTGAGGAAGCCCAGATCTGGATGGTGAAAGCTGGAGACGGATCCTGGAGGCTGGTGTTGAAAGTCCTACCCCTTGTAAATGTCAAGACCTAAATTCTTGGTGGCAGGTGACGTCCTGAGTGGTGCCTGGCCTTATCTGGGGTGGCTTCTGCTCCCCAGAGGGACAGCCAAAGGAAGAAGTAGATGCCAGAGACTCAAAGCACTCTGTGTGCTGAGCTGCACTGGTGTGAGCAGGGAGGAACTGCTATTATGAAGTTGTTTTAATTAACCCCCTTTAAGAAATAACCATTGGACTGATGTTGGTGTGCTGGCCAGTGCTGCTGCTGGAGCCGAGGACTCGTGTCTCTGGAGGCTGCTGCTCGTGTTGTGTTTGTGTGGCTGGTCAAGGTGCAGCTTGGGATGCAGGAATGTGAACTTTGGAGTGGAGCAGGGGGTCCCAGGAAGAGCAGTTAATTAGCGGAGGGTTCTGGCTAAGTGGGGGGTGAGTGGTGGGGTGCTACAGCACTGTGGGTGAGCCCTGGTGGCGGCCATGCTGCGTTTGTGACCAGTAAAGGGCCCGTTCCCATCAGGTCCGGTCCTCATCCAGGGGTGCCCTTAAGCTCTTCCTGCTGGGTGAGGCGGGCCTGGACCTGGGTGAGGTGGGTCTGGACCTGGCTGAGGTGCTGCTGAGGGCCTGAGCCTTCCTCTGGAAAGAGCCTCTTCTCCAGCTCTGTCTTGCTGAGAGCTTCTGCAGCCGATCTGTGGAGCAGCCCCCCCACCCCAGCAGTTAGGGCTTTTCCTTCTCTCTTGCTCAGGTGCCCCTTGGGCTACACCAACCTGTCCGGCTGCGGGCTGGGAGATGGATGTCTGGGTTTCCTGATCCTCTCTTCCCTGTTTGCCCCAAGAAACTGTCCCCTCTCTGCTTTGGACCTCACCAAGCTGGGGAGGGGGGCTTCTGCCTGGCATGGGGTGGGAGGGCAGCAAGGGTCTGAGGTTCTCCTGCCTGGGAGAGGTTCTCCTTGTCCCTTCTCTTGCTACCCATGGCCACAACCAGTCCAAGCTCGGTGTTGTGAGGGGCCTGGGCAGAGCGCAGAGGACAGTCCCACGGATGGTGTGTGAGAGCAGTGGTGGGGAGAGGGGTCCTACCAGCACCCCTGGCTCCTCTGTAGGAGCGAGGTGGGTGTCTGCCTTACCTGGTAGGTCAGGGTAGTGTTTCCCCAGGTTCTCCAGCAAGGATTCGTAGCTGGTGAGGTCAGCGTTTTCTCTTCCTGCCAGCAGAATGGAAGAAATGTTTTAATCTCTCTTTTGGCTGAAAACTGAAGTCAAGACTTGTAACTGGGGTGTGTGGCTCTGCCCAGGAAAGGTTCCTCCTGCCCCAGAGCGGCCACCTTGGATGAACAGAAGGTTCAGCTCTAGCTCTTCATCTGAGCTGGCTTCTGCCCCCTCAGAGCAACTGCTGAATAAAGCCCCTCTTTAAAGCTGTGTCTTTGTTTCTGGGGGTTGACAGGGTTTTACTGGTGTGTGGGACAGTTAGTTGGTGTGTGACACCTTGCCCCCAGAGCAGACCCTCCTTGGAGCAGAGGCTGAACTCTGGTGTCCCACTGAGGAACTTACGGACGACTCGGATGAGGATGTAGCGCTTCCTTTCCTGTAGGTATTTACTGGCGAATTCAGATGCAGGGTTTTCCACTTTGCTGAGGTTCATCAGGGCGCCCGTTTCATCCAGAAGATCAATGCAGTCTGGAGGGAGAGAGATGTGGTGAAGAAAGTCCAGTGTGCCCCTGTGTGGCCAGCGTGAGCCTGTGGGGCTTAGAGTAATTTTCCTTGGCAAGCTATGCCTTGAAGAGATCTGTTGAGGTCTAGAGGGGAGGAGGATCACTGGCCCTTTCCCTGTGTTTTGGGATGAGCTGGGATTCCCATGTGCCCTGTTTGTTACCCTCGGGGTGAGGGCTGGTCCCTCTGGTGCCTGCTGCTCGGGAGCACCCCTACCTTCAGGCTTGCACTGACACTTCCTCTTCAGGTGAGCCGTGAGGATGAGGAGGCGGCAGTGCAGGTTCACCATCTCTTGGCAGTCGTCTGCAGACAGGGAATGAGATGAGAGGGATCACCCCAAATCCCGGGGCCCCATGGACGTGGCAGGAGGCAGAGTAGGGCACTGAGAACTTGCCCACTGTTGTGGCCAACAAGAGTAGGGTCCCCGTGTGGCCATCAGCAGGGGATTGCAGCCACATCTGCTGGTGTTTGGTGCTGGGAGTGCCCCAGGTTAGGAGTGGGGATAAACATTTTGATTTGGGGAAAATGGTTGTGGTTCATGAAGTGTTTCTGTCCTTCAACTTCATTTCCTCAAACACAGGTAGAAAAAAGCAGTGAGCCCTGGCCCCCTTCCACCAAGTGTCCCGGTCACAAGGGCTGGAGATGGTGGCTGAGTCACCAGGGGACACTTTGGCCGTGAACTCTCACCAAGTTTGTCACGATTGAGAAAGCCCCGGGGCTGACACATGTCAGTGGTCGGAGCTGGGGATCCAATTCAAATAGCAGAGGGAGCAAAGGCCCAGGACCACGTGTGTCCAGCAGCCTCAGCAGCGAGTGTCTGGGGTCAGGCAAAGGCTCTGCGCCAACTGGGTAAGGCCAGGACAGGCTCTGCTCGTTCCCTCCCACCAGCCTCAGGTCTCTGCTCTCTAAAGTCAGGATCTGAGCCAGGGAACCCTTCCCACCCGTCCTGGAGCAGAGGAGCTCTGCTGGCAGCTGGTGCTTCTGCCCCAGGGCTCTTCTGGTGGTGTCTGTGTGAGCAGAGCCCCCTCCAGAGACTGAGTCTTCAGAGCTGGGAACTCATCCTTGCCTCTGGCCTCCCTCCCTCCAACCAGCTTAGCCCTGCTGGGATGGTTTTCCTCCATCATTCATCGTGCAGGGGTTAAATATTTCCTTCTTTTCTTAATCAGAGGAGGCAAAGGATGCCGGTGTGCCCTGGCAGAGCTCTCCTGCTCTGTTCCCTAACCACAGGGCATCATCAAGGTGCCCTGCCCCTCGTGGGGCCACCACCTGGGGGTGATGGAGGATGGTCCGGGTGACCAGCCAGCCCCTGGATGGAGGATGGTCCAGGTGACCAGCCAGCCCCTGGAGCTGGGACAAAGCTGGGGGCTTTCCCCACCTACCTCCATATCTCACGATAATGAACATGGTGCTGAGCGGGGCCGATTCCTGGGGCTGCTCTCCCCCGATGGGGGGACCAGCCCTGCGACGTGGGGGCCGATCGTGCCGTCCCGTGGGCAGCCGTGGGGACAGAGCCCCCGGTGGCGTTGGCTGCTGGAGAGCCCGGGGGAGGGGCTGCGTTTCCAGCCAACGCTGCCATGGTTTCCACAGCCAGATTTCCCGGCAACGGGGAATGGCCCCCGCAGGTTCCCAAGCGGGAGAGGGAGGGTAGAGGAGGGGCTGGGCCAAACGACAGCCCGTTGGGGTGGCTCTCTGCTCCTTGTGGTCTTGGCTCCTCTCAATTTTGGACTTTTTTGCAGTTTTGGGGTATTTCCTCCCCCCTCGCTTTGTTCAACTGGTTGCCATGGTGCCAGATCTGCCCCCCTGCTCCCTCCTGAGCCTGGCGCTGCTGCGGGGAGCTCGAGCATCGGCGTGATTTCGGCTGCGATGAAGTTCACTTTCTTACTGGCAGCTGATTGCCCCGGTCACCACCTTTCATTGTCCCCTCGCTGCTCCCCAGGGAGGCCGTGTCACACTAAGTTGGGCAAGGCTGCGTGGGTGCTTTGTTTTTTTTAAGACCAACTGATAGAGAATGTGGAAAAAAATAGCCGAGCCGTTGGGTGCAGCAGCCCTTGTTCAGAGCACTGCAGGGGCAAAGCAAGCATCCAGCTCGCCGCGTCGCATCCTTGGGTGGTGGTGGTGGATCCTCTTCAGGATCTGCCCGTGCCGTAGCCACAGTGCCAGGGTGTTCTAATGAGGCAGGGCTCGGTTGCAGAGCTCCATTTTCCCTCAAGCCCAGAGCACGCAGGAGCTGGTCACATCAGGAACCGCCTGGGGACACATTGAGCAGAGCACTGCAGGGGCAAAGCAAGTGTCCAGCTCGCCGCGTCGCATCCTTGGGTGGTGGTGGTGGATCCTCTTCAGGATCTGCCCGTGCCGTAGCCACAGTGCCAGGGTGTTCTAATGAGGCAGGGCTCGGTTGCAGAGCTCCATTTTCCCTCAAGCCCAGAGCACGCAGGAGTTGGTCACATCAGGAACCGCTCAGGGATACCTTTGGCTCGGGGACACCTTGAGAGCGGGACTGGGGGCTGCAGCGGGGAGGGAAATGGCCATCCCTGGGTGGTGATGTGATGGCCGTGGGGGGGCTGAGCCTGCCTGTGGGGGGCAGGAGGTACCCACTGGTTTTGGGACACCAAGAAGTGCCTGCTGACCACCCTGCTGCGAAGGACTGCCACGGGCTGGGGCCGGAGGGTGCAGAGACACGGACAGTGCCCTGGGCTGTGGCTGGCCACGGGATGTGGCTACTGGGCCACTCTGGTGGGTGTTACAGACAGGAGGGGCTTTACGCCCGGCGATCCCGGCAGCCTTTCGCTGTCACGGTCTGCTGTCTGCCCACATGAGGCACCAGCTGTGCCGCGGCCACATCCTGCTGCACCGGCTCCCTTGGGAAAGGCCTGCTGAGAGGTGACTTCTGCAGCCACCCCCACGTTTGCCCATGGCTGCTGTTTCGGAGGTGGCCCTGGTAAAGAGGCACCAGTGGTCAGCAGCTCCCAGCCCCTGCTGCCGGGGCAGCCATTCCTGTCACGGCGATGGAGCTGCACGGAGAAGGGAGCAGCAGCTTTCCTTGTGATTTTTCTGCCATGAGGCAGCTGCTGGGGGGCTCTGCACATCCTGTCTGTCATTCTCCCCGGGGGCAGCAGAGCCAGCCAGCCCTCAGCCTGTGGCTACCACAGGGCATCCTTGGCATGGTGTGGCCCAGGCTCCCGTGTGCCTGCTGGCAGAGGGCTCGAGGCAAAAGCTCAGAGTGTAAGACCCCGGGGAAACCTCTCTGCTCCCTTCCCCCAGAGAGGAGAGGTGGTGGGTGATGCCTCCCCACCAGGGAGGGGGCTGAGGGGGGTGGTGATGGGTGGGCTGGGGGTGCATCAGCCCAGCCTGGGGCTAAGGTGGGTGGTGGGTTGCAGTTCTCAGCTCTCCCCCCGCTGCTTCGAGCCCCCTCCCCAAAGCCCAGCTGCACCAAAGCCAGCGGGGCAGGGAGCTGGAGTCCCCCAGCCCCCTGTGTCATTTACATACGCCTCACTGTTGGCGCGGACACCAGGGTTTGTGTAGCAGCACAGACCCTCTCCGAAACAGCCACCCTTCCTCTGCCTCCTGCCATGGCCCTGGGCTTCGTGGTCCTGCTCCTGGTGGGGACGGTGGGGACAGGTAAGGGTGGAGTGGGCGAGCTAGCTGCTGTCGGGGGGGGACACAGTGGGGTGGCAAGAAGGACAAGGGGGATGTTCGTCTCAGGAGGGCATTTTGCTCCCGGGCTGTGTGATGGGGAGGGGGGACACAGGACAACATACCCCTCAATAGGACACGGGGGAATGGTTTTAAACTGGAAGAGGGTAGATTAAGGTTAGATACAAGGAAGAACTTCTTTGCTGTGAGGGTGGTGAGAGCCTGGCCCAGGTTGCCCAGAGAAGCTGTGGCTGCCCCATCCCTGGAGGGGTTCAAGGCCAGGTTGGAGGGGGCTTGGAGCAACCTGGGCTGGTGGGAGGTGTCCCTGCCCAGGGCAGGGGGGTCAGAACTTGACGAGCTTTAAGGTCTCTTCCAACCCAAACCATTCTGTGATTCTGTGACGTTGTGGGGCTGAGGGCGATGGGGGACACAGCTCGGGCCCATCAGTAACCGCATCCTCAGTGTGCACAGCTTCCAGGGCTCAGCCCTTGCTGACCCAGCCCTCCTCCGTGTCGGTGCTGCCCGGGCAGACCGCCCGCCTCTCCTGCACCCTCAGCCCCCAGTACAACATCAGCACGGTCGGCATCTCCTGGTACCAGCAGCGCCCGGGGCACTCCCTGAGGTATCTGCTCTACTACAACTCCGAGCGGGACAAGCACAAGCCCGCCACGGTTCCCGACCGCTTCTCTGCTACCAAGGACCTCGCCAGCAACGCCTGCATCCTCATCATCACAGCCGCCCGCCATGAGGACAACGGCAGCTATTACTGCTCCCTCTCACTTGCCTTCAGCCGCTTTTAGAAATGGGAAACGTTTCTAAAGCCCCCTGTGTTCTCCCTTGCAGCCCTGACGCCAAGCCCTCAGCAGGGAGAAGGGCAGGGATGGAAAAAGTCCCCCCCCACCATGTGCTTGAGGGAGCCCAGCAGCCCTGCCCTGGGCTGCGATGTGCAGCAACCCCAAACTTCAGCCCCAAACGTCCCTCACGGAGCACCAGACACCCCAGCACAGCGTGAGACCTGCCCCGGCTCAGCCCGGGATGGCGAAGGAGCGGGGATCTCCCGCTGCTCGGAATGGTTTTAAACTGGAAGAGGGTAGATTAAGGTTAGATACAAGGAAGAACTTCTTTGCTGTGAGGGTGGTGAGAGCCTGGCCCAGGTTGCCCAGAGAAGCTGTGGCTGCCCCATCCCTGGAGGGGTTCAAGGCCAGGTTGGAGGGGGCTTGGAGCAACCTGGGCTGGTGGGAGGTGTCCCTGCCCAGGGCAGGGGGGTCAGAACTTGACGAGCTTTAAGGTCTCTTCCAACCCAAACCATTCTGTGATTCTGTGACGTTGTGGGGCTGAGGGCGATGGGGGACACAGCTCGGGCCCATCAGTAACCGCATCCTCAGTGTGCACAGCTTCCAGGGCTCAGCCCTTGCTGACCCAGCCCTCCTCCGTGTCGGTGCTGCCCGGGCAGACCGCCCGCCTCTCCTGCACCCTCAGCCCCCAGTACAACATCAGCACGGTCGGCATCTCCTGGTACCAGCAGCGCCCGGGGCACTCCCTGAGGTATCTGCTCTACTACAACTCCGAGCGGGACAAGCACAAGCCCGCCACGGTTCCCGACCGCTTCTCTGCTACCAAGGACCTCGCCAGCAACGCCTGCATCCTCATCATCACAGCCGCCCGCCATGAGGACAACGGCAGCTATTACTGCTCCCTCTCACTTGCCTTCAGCCGCTTTTAGAAATGGGAAACGTTTCTAAAGCCCCCTGTGTTCTCCCTTGCAGCCCTGACGCCAAGCCCTCAGCAGGGAGAAGGGCAGGGATGGAAAAAGCCCCCCCCCGTGTGCTTGAGGGAGCCCAGCAGCACTGCCCTGGGCTGCGAGGTGCAGCAACCCCAAACTTCAGCCCTGAACATAGACCTGCCCCGGCTCAGCCCGGGATGGCGAAGGAGCGGGGATCTCCCGCTGCTCTGGGAGGACGGAGAGCTCTGCCCTGGCTGGGATGTCTGGGGTTCTCCCAGCCCTTGGCACAGCGCAGGCTTCATCCCGGCTTGGGGGTTGGCGCGGTTTGGCTCATCTGACAATAAAGGTTAATCCTCAGCTACGTGGTGTAGACGTGGTGCCGAGGGACACGGTTTAGTGGGGGCTTTGGCAGCATTGGGTTGGTGGTTCAACTCCATGAGCCTAAAGCTCACGGTGGTTCAGCTCCGTGAGCTTCCAACCCAGACGATTCTGGGATTCTACACCTGGGGCGTCCCCAGGAGCCCCTTGGGCATCCCCCCGCGGGCACCGCGCCGTGCCCTGGGGCAGCAGAGCTGGTAGGGGGACTCCAAGGCGCGATGGCGTCCAGCCCAGCGGGGTCTCTCAGGCCAGGACGGAGCCGTGTCCCTCAGCCCTGGCAGAGCCCAGCTCCCCTGGAGACCCCTGTCTGCAGCACCCTGCTCCATCATCCCCCCAGTAAGGACTTGTCCCCCTTCACAGCGCCCCCAACGCTCCCCACAGCTCCCAGTGCCTCCCCACGGCCCCCAACGCCTTCCCACGGCCCCCACCGCCTCCCCACAGCTCCCAGTGCCTCCCCACGGCCCCCAGCGCCTCCCCACGGCCTCCCCCCGTCGCCATCTCCCCACACAGCCCCACGGCGCCCGAGGGGGGAAGGACACGTTTAACCGCTCGGGCGCTTGTGGGCGCTTTACACGACCGTTTCCGCCCAGAAGGAGAATGCGGTTTTTCCCCGGAGAAATCCCACCGACCCCATTAACAACCCACCGACCGACCGCCCCCCCCGCCGCCGCACTGCGCATGCCCAGTCCTGCGG